CTCTCTGTGCAGAATATGGCTCATCGCTGGGCTTCAGAATCATCTAACATAACATCCCAACCATCCATATTTATTCCTGCACACATTCTCTTACGGTTCACAGGGTCAACTCCTCCCCCAACTAATGACAATGCAAAATTGCTACATACAGAAAAAAAGCTATTAAGGGACATAATGGAATCTCTCCTTTCATTTTATACATTTGATTATAGTTTATTTGCTAACTGAAGGCGTATTTCTTTTCATGTTGTTTTCTGCTGCATTATTAGTTTGTTAAATATTATAAGTTTATAATAATTATTATTTTATTTATCTATTTTTACAAAGGATCTGGTAGAAAGATTCCTTGAGATAAAAGCCAGATTTCTTTAAATGACAGCTCGGAAAAGCTCTATCCAGCTGACAAAATGAATAAAGCTCCCCGAAAGGCAGCAGGGAAGAATTTGCTCAATAAAGAAAATATATAAGAATATATAAGAACTCAATATAATGTTTAAGCTGATGTGAACAAATCCATTTAAATATTATTGACACATGGACCTATGTCCATGTGTCAACAATATTTAAATGGTGTCAACAATAAACCCTGCTAAAGTCAGTCACAGATTCATGATTTTATCCTCCAATCCACTAGGTGGGGTTAAAACAAATGTTTGGCTACTGCATTTTTTTCTAGTTCCTAAGACTTCCTTCGGCTGCATTTGGACAGTTCCTTGTTTTTACTTCTTTGTTACATCTTTAGTACCATTTTTTGGTTGCACTTTTCTTTTTTAATCACCCATGAGTGGTTGCCGCACTGTGGGAAGCGCATAAGGAGTATAGAGTGAGGGAGTGGAGCAGGAGTAAGATCCACATTGCCTGCATTCAGTCGGACCTATTCCCTGTGCATGTTTGACTCCAACAGAGTTGCCCTTTGTCATCAGGCTTGTTCATAACCTTTATGGACATAATTTCTAGAAACAGCCAAGGCCTGGACGGGGTCTGGTTCGGGGACTGGAAGATCTCATCCCTGCTTTTCACATATGATGTTGTTCTGCTCGATCCCCACTGCCAAGACCGAAAGCATGAACTGCGGCAGTTCACACCAGAGTGTAAGGCGTCCAGGAGAAGGATCCGATCCTCCGACTACAAGGCCATGTTTCTCAACCAGAAAAAGTGGCTTTTCCCTTTTAGTTGAGGGAGAGTTCCTGCCTCAAGCGGAGGAGTTTAAATATCTTTGGGTCCTGATTACAAGTGAGGGAAGGGAGATTGATAGACAGATCCGGGCAGCTGCTGCTATAATGCGGACGATTCACTGGTCTATTGTGGTGAAGAGAGAGAGTCGAGTCTATATTCCAATCCCTCACCTATGATCATGACCGTAAGCGACAGGACAATCAGAAATACAAGTGACAGAAATATGTGTTCCACGCACTCCCTTAGAGAAAGGATGAGTAACTCGGTCATTTGGGAGAGGCTCATAGTAGAGCCGCTTCTCCTTCACATCAAGAAAAGTCAGCGGAGGTGGCTCGGCTGTCTTTTTTGAATGCCACTGGATACCTTCCTTGGGAGATGTTCCAGGAATGTCCAAACAGGAGGAGGCCCTGGGAATGACCCAGGACACGCTGGAGGAACTATGTTTCTTTGTTGGCCTGAGAACGCGTTGGGCTTTCCCAACAGTGCTGAAGGAGGCAGGTCTCGGAGTCTCTGAGACTGCTACCCCCACAACTCGGATGAAGCAGAAGGCGACCTGTAAAAGGATTGGTCACCATGACTTGTTTCCAGTCAAACTATAAAACAATTCTGAACTGAATTACATAATATAAGAACCTTTTGGACCCCCACGAACAAGTGCGGAACATGTCTCAGAAATAAATTTTTACTTAATCGTTCAGCTATTAGCATGTCTTGGTTAAATTCATTGGTTAAGAAATGGAAAAGGAGGTGTTTTTTATAACAAACGAATCCCAAAAAACATTTTAAAGCATGTAAACAAGTGATAGCTTACCTTACATTCAAGATGATTTGTCATGAGATTTGTAAAATTACATACTTGATACAGGACCAATGAAAAACATTGGCATATATGATGTCAGCACGCCAACCAGAGGCAGAAGGCTGAAGCAAAACAAACACGGCTGCACCAGTTTCAGCTGGAATACCCTCCATTTCTTTTTTAAAAACAAGCAAAAGAACGTGGTTTTTGCCTTTGTGGATGGTAAGATATTTGCGAGTTCCTCCAGACGAGATTTTGTAAGAGTTTTAATTATTAGTTAACTATGTGGGGAAAAAAATCACAAATGTTATGCAACTCAGCTGCTACTGCTGCTGTGATTGGCTAAAAATTGGATATGGTAGACAGGTACCCAATCAGCTCCAAGAATCGCACTGAATTTCTCTCACTTTGGTGAACATGTTCTTCAGGAAGCTTCCCAGATATATACCAATTCAAAATTGCTATTTAATTGTACTTTGTATTGTAATTCAAATTCTGGCTTATGCCAGGTTGTGTGATAGCCAGTTTACTGTCAAACTCTTAAGGGAATTGAACAAAAACCAATGTATGCTATAAATTGTGTCCAAGATTCACATGGACTTATACAACTACAATGAAGTTTATAGTGTCATTTGCTCCAAGCAGTAGAATGTCCTTTCGCCCACATCCCTGAAAGAGAATTGTAATTACACATTACTACTCGCAATCGTGCAAGTTGAAATTTACTTTGAACCCACTTTGCTTTTTTCATACCGTTTTTTTGGCACACATGACACTGCTTTTCAAGTGTAAATCATGTTAAATTTGACACATAATTGGCGTTGAACGGCTAACAAAAATATGAACACTGATCTTTTACAAAGATTTGCACATAATCTACCTTGATAATATCTTTGGCAAACCTAAAATAGTTCAAACAAAACAAAGATTTAGGAAAGCCCAATCAAATCAAACCAAGCCCATACAACCGGCTATATTTTGTGATCAAAATGTTTTGCAACTTTGAGTACGTACAATTTGCTTCTGGACTAATGAATATCTAAAAAACCATGCAAACATCCAGTAATGGGGGAAGGACAAACTAGCTCATAACTCCCTGTTCCTTAGCTTTACATCAAGACAGCTACTATGGTGATATTCAAAGATTCTTAAGATGGTTAAGCAAACAGTCAAACAAACCAGTTTGGCCTAATAGGACACATCTAGATCCGGCCACAATAATGCATTTTTCTCCTTTCAACACAGTATACAAAAGTCTTGAAAACATTAAATCCAATGTTTCTAAACGTTAAATATTTGGAATCATCCATTTACTTATTCCAAATATTTAGCCTAACATTTCACCATTTTGTATAAGGACTCCAAATTATGACTGAAAACCATATTGGTAATCTCCAAAGAAAGCATAAGAACACTTTGATGAGATAAGTGCTAATAATATTTTCACTAATTTCTTGTCAACCCAATTCTCCATTTTGGAATTAGCATTTCCGTTTCAGATTGATCAACTGGAGGAATTTTGACGATAAACATCCAGAATCCAGTTTTCACAGATTATGATCCATTTCAGTACATTAATATAATTTATAGTTGCCAATCTAACATGCTCACACCACATACTACCATTTACTCCAATTAATCATCCTTTTCAGGTTAAAGCAGCATTATTCTGCACAGCTCCTCTAAAAAACGTGCTTTCCTAATTGGGCAAGACTCCATCAGACAGAACAGCTATGATGTATTCCAGTCCACAGCAGGCGACCCTTGCTAAACCACGCCTGGCCAGAAACTACTAGATAACAGCAGCTGGACAGGAAACAGAGGAGAAGCAATAAATTACACAAAAAAAGAAGACAAAGCAAAATGACAACACAAGGAGCATTTTGTTTGGATCCAACAGTGAAGATGCTTTACTTTTGCTCATAGGATTGGAAAAAAAAACTGAACAGAAAATGTGCGTTTAGGGCTAAAAATGTAATAGACCTTTTTGTGTGTTGAAATATGCAATGCGTGGGTCGATTGCCTTTATGCGAGTACAGAGAGGATCAGTTTGCAGTATTGCATGTGAGATGTGTTTCCAGGAATGTTTGAGTCTGCTGAAACGCAGGGGGTATACAGGCTTAATTAGGACAGGGACGTGCACGCTCAGTCCGCCGACGTTGGGCAATGTTGGCTGCAGGCAGACGCCGGCACAAGTGTTGAGTTTCTCACACACTCGCTGGCAAAGGGGAGGAGGAGGAGCATGTACACACTCAAACTCACCAAGCCGGGTCCTGTGAGCCCTTTAATGTTTCTGTAACGCACACACAGATTTACAGAACTGCTGCTAGCCGCATGCAGGACCCATTGAAAGAGCTGAAAGCAGACCACAACTCACTGGAAAAGGACAGGGTAGACTTTGTTTACCCTGGCTTTGTTTGTTTTAAACTGATGGGAGCCGACATTTAAGAGACACTTACTGTGGAAAAGTCACAAGGCTCATTTACAAAGAGAAGAAAGTACTGTTTGAAGTAAGACGAAAGAGATAATGAGATGTCAGTATTCAAAGTGGTATTCAAATCAGACAAATATGTTCAAATGTTTCAGTTTTTATCACTTCAAGAATAAGTGGACTATTTGGTCTCATGTAAAGCTCCAGGAGTGAATATGTAAACCATTACAGGATAAGAGCTTCTAATGTATGGACAAGCACATAATAGCAAGACTAACCTTTAACACGTTTTCCTTAAAAGACAACCAAGTTCTGGTTTGTTTTAGTGTGTCCCAATCATAAAAAACTTTTGGGTAGCCCTGAGAGATAAACATTCAAGCAGTTCCACAAAGAAACACACACACACAGTCCCAGCTGGAGTAGACAAGCTCCCTTTGTGCTGCATTCCTCACGCCTTTCAGTCTGAGCACCAGCCTTTAGCTTAGCTCCATCTGCACGCACACATTCATACATAGAAGGGAGCAACTTTCTATTGCTTTTGTCTGCACAGTGGTAGCAGTCCAACAGCTGAGACGGATAGGAAGCTGGTCTTACCGTGTCCAGGCTCAGGCTGGCGAGCTGCAGCAGGGTGACGGTGCTGGCTCGGTGGGGTTATATCCCAATTAATAATAAAGATGATCATAAAAAAAATAAATGAGGCTTGTTGGTTAGAGAGTCAGCTAGCTCAGCAGATTCCCACAACCTTCCCTTTTCCTCTCCTCTCCACTCCTCTCCTCTCCCTGCCTGTGCTCCCAGCTTTGTGTGTGCCTTGTATTTTCCCTTTAAACAGCACGGGTCGCCTCCCCCCACCTCCTCTCAGCACACACTTGCGCACTGAGCCCAGCACACAACGGTGCTCCTGAATATATGACACTCTTGTGTCAAAAATGTGCACTAGTTTTGTTCTCCTCCTTTCATATACGCTCCTTGTTCAGCAACGTTTGAGTATTTTAGGTAACAGGAAATCTAATTTTTAAAATGAAATGAAAAGAAAAAAATAAGAAATCCTCTGTTTCTTGTTTTCTCTGTAAAATAAAAAGTGATTCTGCTTTTAGATCTTCACCTTCGCTGTCTATGCATCTTAATGCTCACCCTTTCTTAGTCTCCCTGTATTCTGTCTCGCCTATTTTTCCCCCACTCAGTAGTCAAACAAAGAGAGGAAAAGGAACAGAGCAAGCGCACACACATGCACAAACACATATATATACAACACACATTTGCTTGCTCCTGCTTGCCCCCCCCACCCCCCCTCACACATGCAAGCTTGGAGCCCAACCCCCCAGCCTGCCTTTCTCTGATTCTTTCTCTAAACACCACCTCTCCCCCTCCTCCAACTCCATCCATCCATCCATCCCTCCCTCCTTCTCTCTCTGCCTGATCTGGCCTCTTTCTCATTCGTCTGACACCCCCCCGCCTCCCTCCCCCTGAGTGAAACAGATGGGATTGGAGAGCAAAAGGAGCCTCTGCGTTTATTCTCCACCTCGATTTCTCTTCTTCATTAGTGTGATGTAAGCCTGATGGAGAAGCGCTTTGGCCTACAGTACAGTCAAAAGAAAACAAATAAATAGATCAATAGAAATCCAGATCATCTTCAACCGGAGTTATAAAAGTCTTCACCAAATTTTGACTCACAGATGTGGATTTATGACACTGACATCTTCACACCCAACAGATGTGCGAAGTCGGTGATAAGGCTTCAGCATAAAAGAGCTGGCAAACATGTGGTTGGAGTGAGAACAATGGTTTTAAAAGTTCGGGTCCCACATGTGGTGTAACATTACCAGCGCAGCCCCATATCATACACTTAGCCACGCTCAAAACCAATAAAATGACTCTGAACGAGTTAGATCTGAGTTTTTGAAGTGAAGTTCAGTAAAGATATCAATTATATTTGCTTTCTCTGTGACAGGAAGATGTTACATCACCGTGACTGTGGTGGAAAGTTAAAGCACCCTCAAAGGCGGAGGAAACCATCAAGCTACCCTGATGTTAGCCTCATCATTCTGCCTTATGAGCTGATCCGGAACCATCTTTGAGACTTTTGCACGATTCACGCAAAATCTAACTAAAGATTACTCAATTCTCATTGCACTTATAACAGGCTTAAACAGATAGCTCCACGTTAAAATGCAGACAAACAGCTATATGGCCAATTTATACTTCTGACGCATGGCCACTGAAACCGTCAAATCTGTCTTTGTATCTCTGAAAAAAATCCTGACTACGCGTCGGATGGTCGCAAACCTGTGCAGAACTCAAGCGGAAGTGCGCAGACAAAAAGCAGCTGTGATTGGTCCTTGGTTTGCCTTTCCGGCTTTCTGTGCGGTCGTCCTTTATTACAAGACGACCGCACATTCTTAAAAACCGAGGAGTAATAACAACAATGGATAACCACGACGAAAGGTTGATCGAGGAGGTTCGGAAGTAAAACCACTTGTATGATGTGTCAGACTTACATTGTTTTGGAAAATAAGCACTTCCACTGGCGCCGCCGGAGAAGTTCTCTTGACCATCCGCCGAAGTTCTTGTGAGTTCTTCGAATAGGCTCAGCCTAGCGCTTTTGATGTGCGCAGACAAAAAGCACTTGTGATTGGTCCTTGGTATGCCTTTCCGACTGTCTGTGTGGTCGTCCCGATTCGGTGCCAGGGCGCGCCATTTTTAAAATCCGAGGACAAACTACAATGGACAACTACGACTAACGGGTAATCTAAGAGGTTCGGAAGTTCTCGTGACCATCCGCCAAAGTTCTCGTGAGTTCTCGAATAGGCTCCCCCTTGTGCTTTGGCGGGAAACTGCTGTGTGTCCCTAGAAAGTCCAGACCAATGTAGCAGCTTCAGTAGGGAGGACCAGACATCCCTTTTGGGCCAGCTCTTCAAGAGGAAAACCAAGGCGTTCCCAGGCCAGCTGAGAAACATAGTCCCACCAGCGTCTCACGAGTTTTCCTCTTCGCCTCCTCTTGGTGGGACGTGCCCGGAACACCTCACCAGGAGGGCGTCCAGGAGGCATCCTAACAAGATGCCCATGCCACCTCAACTGGCTCCTCTTAACGAGTCCTCCCCGAATTACTAAGTTCCTCACCCTATCTCTAAGGGAGAGCCCAGACACACTACGGAGAAAACACATTTCGTTGGTATCGACGATCACTTTCTTTCGGTCATGACCCAAAGCTTATGACCATAGATGAGGTTAGGAATGTAGATCGACCTGTAAATAATAAAAATGTGCCTTTTGGCTCAGTGCCCGCTTCACAGCAGACGCCACATCAATCCGCCTGTCCATCTTCCACTCCATCTTCCCCTCATTCGTGAGCAAGACTCCAAGATACTTAAACTCCCCCACTAGGGGCAGTACATCCCCCCCAACCCAGAGAAGGCACTCTACCCTTTTTTTCATCTCAACACCATGGTTTCGGATTTGAAGGCACTGATCCTCATCACGGCGGTTCACACTTGGCTTCGAACCATTTCAGTGCAAGCTGTAGATCACCCCCTGATGAAGGCATAGAACCACATCACCCGCGAATAACAGAGACGCAATCCGAAGGCCACCAAAACTGATCTTGGCTGTGCCTAAAAATTCTGTCCACAAAATTTATGAACAGAATCGATGACATCCCTAGTCATTGGTGTAAACCTTCAAAACATGACATACTATTAGGTCAGTTCCGTTTGACTGCAAGGTTTATCATGAGTACAAATTAGCAAATATCTGCTCCATATTTTGTTATAGCATGCACTCGGGATGCCAAAAGGCAACAATCCCATTCAACAGCTGGCATTAAAAGATAGAGCAGCTACGTTTTTGTGCATCAAGTTTTTAATGGATTTATGTCGAAATCTTAAGTGAGATGGGTAATGAGAGCAATAGGGTTCACTTTTACTTTCTCCTATCCCATACACAACCACGGTCAAAATCAAGTTAGGCTTTTGATTAGATTTAGAGCTCTAAATTATTTGTTTTAATTGAACTAATATAACTAGATGATCGCTATTCTCAGGTTTCGAACTACTGATCTTACTGAACTTCCTAGGAGGTTTCCAAACATTTTAATTGGAAGGCAGTTGTAAAAGGTCTTTGAACATGCTCTTCCTTGAGTCATTTGTATCTACATCTCAGTACCATTTTAGGCCATGACACTAAAAAATTATTATAAAAGTATTTGGCCATGGACTCATTAAGAAACATCCAGAGAAGTTATAGAAAACGTTAAGGCTAAAATGGCAGTAAATGAGTTGCATATTCAGTCTCAGTCTAAAATCATCAACAACAACAACCCAGAGCTGATTGCACCATTATCTTTACAGCATTTCTTCAGAGAAATCATGGTTCAGCTTTTCAGCACATTATTACTTTGCGTACAACTTGGAAAACAATCAAAGCTTTTCAAAATGACATTTAGAGAGCCTGCTTTAAAATTTCCAGCCATTCCTTTCAGCTTAACTTTTTTTCTGTGCCTTTTAAATGAGTAAGTTGGTGCAAACTGTACTGCACGGAGAGCTGAGGAAGCTGTGCTCACTTTGTGTTCACTTTTAAAATTAAAAGGAAGGGGGTAAAGAGAGATGGGCATGTTGCACAAAACTTTCTCCGTTTTTCCTTTTGAAGATGTTTCCTGCACCTCTGAATTAGACTACCGGGTTTGCAGAGACACACAAGCATGTCCTTCTGTGTGAGAGCCATGTGCATGAAGATTGGATTCCATAGTCGACGGAAAGGGTACAATCAGAAGGCCAGAAGGAAGGAAGTGGGGGTGGCAGGGTGGGTGGAGGGTGATGGTATGGAAAATACAACATGCACACTGAAAGAAAAAAAAAATACAGCTGCACACTTTCACCAGAGCATAGGAGGGAGGTAACATAAGCCCTTTTAATGTGCTCTCTGACTCCTATAGACTGCTTCTGTCTGCCTTCTTTGCTCTACAAAGAAAGAAGGCACCAGGAGATAAGTCCTGACTGCAAAACTATATTGAAAACTCAATACGGAGAAACAAACACTGAATGTAAAGTGTTCAACAGCTGAGTGTGTAACAGAGGCTAAGAGCTTCTGTAATGGGATAATTCAATCTCCTGCTGGATCACTAAAAGCTATGCACATTGCAATGCAATGACCTTATACACCTAAAATGTTTAAATTAGCTTAAATATTAATGCACTACTTTAATTTAAACATATATTTAGTTTGATTTTGATTAAGAAGATCCTCCAGGTGTGCATGTAAATAAAACTGTTTTAATAAATTATTAAGGGTTAATTTCCGAAGCCCTTGGAAACTAAAACTAGATCTTTGTCTGGTAAGGATGTCTTTATCTTATTCATTATTATTATTCCATGGTAAAAGGATTACATAAAAGTATTACAAACCCCAGCACATATTGCAATGTTGGTGTAACAATTATTACAACAGAAACTACATCTACAGCTGTCCATGAACATAACAGGTGAGGTTGCTGCACTGAGTTTTAATTAGTTTACTTCTGTTTGAACTTCAAAGTTCACAAGGTCACAGAGGGTTACGAGGTGATGATAAATCCATTACTGACGCAGCATGGTGCACCACTCACCCCTCGTTTGCAGTACTAAAAATGATTAAAGCCAAAGACCTTCTGGTGTTACAAAAAATGAATATAAAATACCCTGGACTTTTAAACAATATATAAACCCATTTCATTCATAGCCAATTCAGCTCAAGATACTTCAGTTTATTCGAAACTAAAAGTGAATCATTATCAGCAATTAACATTTTTACTGCTACAATCTTTATAGCTCAAACATTTTCACCTGTGTGACTCATTTACTACTGCAGTTTGAATCAAACTACACACCAGCTGCTGTGCATCATATCACGCAGAAATGAATGCATCAGATGTTAGAGCTGTGCTTTTTGGCTTTTCTGCTGTGCTGTTGTTGTCTCACATTATGGGTTGGGTTAATGTTGCATAAAGGAACCTTACTTTTGCAGTGAAAGTTTAAATAAACTACTGTATTAATTTTGTCTCTCATGTCAGAGGAAAGCTTAGACGTCACTCATTGCTTAGATATCACACAATGGTTCTTTGGCTAATGGAGCAAACTGATTTTAAAACTGATTTTCAACTGCTTTTATTCCATGTGGAGCTGCATAATATGGTTTCTCATGTTTT